TGGACGTAAGCTTCCTGTTGGAAATTTGCTCATTCTGCAGCCTCAACCAAATTTGAACTTTTGACATTTCCATCATGCTGTAGCTTGACTAGAGGTAAAATAGAAGCAGCTGTGGTGAGACTGCTAACGGACTAAATGAAATACATGAAATCTTTCACTCAGCTGGACCACCAGGAAGTGTGGCTGCCCTGGAGAAATGTAATATTACCAGAAGTAGGCTCAAATTTACAGTGAAAAAATTCTGTCATAGGAGTTTCCACCCCCAACTTTAAATTGAATAAAGTTCAGGCATTATAGTTAGCAATGTGCCCTGGAGCCAGGAGAGCCAACCCTGTCCTGGGGGCATCAGGCACAGCATCACCAGCTGGGCAAGGGAGGGGATTGTCCTGCTCTGCTCTGCACTGGGGCAGCCTCACCTCGAGTGCTGGGGGCAGCTCTGGGCACCACGATGAAAGAAAGACATGAAACTATTAGAGAGTGTCCAAGGAGGGCAACAAAGATGGGGAAGGGCCTTGAGGGGAAGCTGTGTGAGGAGCAGCTGAGGGCACTGGGTCTGTTCAGCCTGGAGGAGACTGAGGGGAGACCTCACTGCAGGAGGACACTAGGGGAGACCTCATTTGCTCATAAGCTGTACGTCTACAGCTTCCTTGTGAGGGGAAGAGGAGGGGCAGGCACTGATCTCTGCTCTGTGTGACAGTGACAGGACCCAAGGGAATGGCCTGAAGCTGTGTCAGGGAAGGTTTAGGTTGGATATCAGGAAAAGTTTCTTCACCCAGAGGGTGTTTGGGCACTGGAACAGGCTCCCCAGGAAAGTGATCACAGCACCAGCCTGACAGAGTTCAAGAAGTGTTTGGACAGTGCTCTCAGGCACCTGGTGTGACTCTTGGTGGTGGTACTGTGCAGGGCCAAGAGTTGGACTTTGATGATCCCTGTGGGCCAACTCAGGATATTCTATTTTTGTGTTAAAAATTCATTTGCTCTTGTTGGGCTTTCTCATATAGGAGTCCCAAAGTCTCTTACAGAGTCAGTGGAGTGAAAGAAGCTCCTCTGAGAGCTCAGTGGACTTCAGACATGCAGGTGAGGCCAGCAGGATCTTACTCTTCAACAAACAAGAGTTTGTTGTTTATTATTCCTAAATATTTTTACAGTGCCCCAAGTGGAAGCTGCCCTCACAGACTGAGATCTCACTCAGTCTGTGACATGTGTATCAGAGGATTATGGTAAATCCCCTGATACACATAGGAGAGTGGCCATAAGTTTAATTTTGTCAGGTAACATACCACCATCTGGGAGCCCATTGCCAGAGGAAGGACAATGGACTCTTCATTTATTTCAGTGTCCCCAAATGGCTTTACAGGGAGTGGATGCCCTATATCTTCCCAGTTAGACTTGTCCTCTTTTATTTTCAGGATCTTCAGTGAACTCAGGCACAGACATCAAGTTCTTCCTGGTTTGTGAGCACCCCTAATCTCCAGAGGCTCCAGAGAGCAGTTGGAATATGCATTGCTTGGATTGCTGCTCTTCTGAGCAGTACAACACAGCAACACTGTTCTGCAGTGCTAACAGCCAAGCTTCAGAGTGATATACCTGTGACATTTAAGATTTGAAGGGGTATATACATATTTAAGTACCTTATGTGCCTGTAAGGATGCGTTGCTGTGGCCTTTATGTTATGTACACAAGCTCATATACAATCAGAGAAATTGAGGGATGTCAGGTAACATGGGACAAAACACAAAGCAAAGTTTTAATACTATACTGTTATTTCCATTTTTACAGAAATAAATAAGGGTACAAAACTGTAAAATAATTTGTTAGATGTAATTACTAACCTGGTAGCACACAGTGATGCTTGACGAACTAATTTGTCAGAGTAGTGACATTGTAGGCACACTAAGATAAACACAGAGCTTTGGCCCTGAATAAAACTTCTCAGGTTATTAGGTTATTAATGGAAAAAATAAAGGCTGTCTAAATGTTATCTTTGGGGCAATCCTCAAATTTGTTATTTCTAGTCCTTAGGCCACTGCCCTATGTGATTTGTGTTTAATCACCAAAAAATAATCAGGGAAAAGATCTGCCAGAGATCTATAGCAAGTTTAATTAATAGTAAACAGACTAAGTCTTCTAAAATATTATTGTTCCACTGTAACAATAAACGGAAGGAATAATTGAATGGATGACTAAGTAAATAATCAAAAGTAATAGGCCCAAACTGGCTATGGAATCTCTCTTAGGGAGGTCTTAGCACTGATCTCATTGAGTTCCCCCTGAAGCCATCTTTTCTCCAGGATGAACATGTACAAGTCCCTCAGCCTCTCCTCACAGGGCAGCTGCTCTAGCACTGATCATCCTCATGGCTGCACTGAACTCACTCCAGTTTTTTAAGGTCTTTCAGGTACGGTGTTGGAGGGGGAAAATGGAGTGCAGTATCTTGGATATGGTTTAGTGAGTGATAAGTAAAGGGAGATAATCATCTATTGATTGTGCGCAGGCTAACACAGCCTCCTGACCTTTGCTGCTGCCTCACACTTTGCCATGACTGCAAAGCCAAGGTGTCAGGCAAATAACTACTTTATGTAGCAAGAGATGCAAGATGACTTGGTTTTTCCTCAAAAGATCAAATCTGGAAAGATGCTGAACATCAGAACAACAGAAACTCCCTTCTGGGATGCTAAAGTCCAGAAATGGACTGAAGTAGATGAATAGAAGAGACATGCAGAACAGTCAATGGCAAGAAATTCAAGCTATTGGTTTAGTTTCCAGGAGCTGCAGAACAAAGCTGCCTTTCCATCCAGTGCACCAGCAGAGGAAGACATCCACAAGCAATAGACTGCTGTCTACTAATTAATTCTGCTCACAAGAGATAGAGTTCCAAGTAATAGAGTTCCAAGAATGATGCTTTTAAGGCCAGGGACTGTTCACATAAAAATAGATGAAACAAGAGGAGCAGGTGAATTTCAGAGAAAGGAGGAAATACCATACTCAAGTGAAGCAAACCCACACCCCCAGGGTGATCTGTGCCAGAAGACCTGCTTGAACTATTTCACCAACAGTAGGAGAGTAGGTATGAGTAGTTTTAAGGAAGGCATGGAAATCTATACAGTCCCCCTGTGAATCATAGAATTATTTAGGTTGGGAAGGATGTTAAAGATCATTGAGTCAAACTGTAAACCCAGCACTGGCAAGTCCACCCCTGAACTATGTCCCTAAGCACCACATCTACGTCTTTTAAATATGCAGAATTTTGTACAAGGAAGAACTCCTGCATTCAGTTTTGCTGAGAATTAACACCTCAGAGTGAAGCAAATCACTGGAATAAAACTTGCCAGTTGAGTGGAAACAGGAAAGGGAGGAGACACAAAAGCAGAATCAAACAAACTGCCGGTGTTTCTATACAATGGCATTTGGAAGAGTAGCAAGACAAACACTCTGAGAAGTCAAATGGTTCTAGTAACTTCAAAATCTTCAAAGGTGTTTTTAGTAAGCTGTAAATTGTGGTAGTAAGTTAATTTTACTAAATTAACAGTGGTGCTTTCTTATGATTGTGCCCTGACAAAACCTGACTTCTGCAAAATTTCTAGTGCACCATAAAATCTTGGAATAATGGTAAGTCTGGTTAAGGAAGGTAGACATGTTTTGTGATTTCCACTTTATGCTAGGCATGGAAATCTTGGGGCAAGTATGTGACCTGGCAAGGTATCTACCCACCTCCCCTGCTGCCCAAAAAACCCAAATCCCAATCCTGATACTTGCCCCTCTCCCACAGTTTCATAAAACAGAATAGATGGGGTGTTTCTTTCTGAGGGGGTGACAATCTGGGGTGTCTTCCTAGCTGCTCATGCAACTTTCTCCATTGCAGGAGTGGCTTGGTGGGACAAAGTCTGGATTTACCAGGGAATGAGGTGGAAGAAAAAAAACTTGCTCGACACGTTAGGCCTAACCAGTGTACTGGTCTGCCATGCCAAGGAACACTGAGTAACTCCTGTTTAGACCAGGGTGGCATTCATCTACCAGGATGGCATTCATCTACTGCTTACACTGAAACCCATGTGCTTCATGGCTGTAGGCATATGACTCCATGTACTAGCTGCTGTAGAGATGTATGGAAGGACATATTTCCTGCCCCAGTTGATCCATAAGTTGTATTGAGATACAGGCAGATGAAATTAAAGGCTGGAGAGAGGAAGAAAGTTGAGACAGAAGTTGATATTGATATCCTGAAGTTTCACAGATGATCTATAAAAAGCATTTTCTCTAAACCATTAGAAAAATAAGAAATTATCAGATGAGTTTGGTCTTCGATTTCTGCCTTTATTGGGAAACTGTTTTCATACAGATCCCTTTTCAAAATAGGGTTTTGACTGGTTATGAGTCTATTCACCATTGTCACAGACAACTTCTAGAGCAAAGAAGGAAAGGAGTAGTGTCTTGAAATAGATGTAGAAGAAATAATGAAGAAGATGCTGTATCCTATGCTAGTGTCACTGCAGAGCTGATATGTGGATTGTCATGCAGAGAAAAGCAAGACAGAAGAAAACATCTTCATGTTGTCATAAGATGTCTCTAGGGAGGTTTTCAAACTTCTTGCAGTGTCTGATCACAGAGGTTAAACAAGAAAAACATGATATGCACACATATGTGTGTGGTATCTATGCATGTATGTACAATATGTAGTGTGTCCATTCAAAGCATACATCTCCTCTGATTTTCAATGAGATCAGCTCTCAACTCCTCATTTATCCAATATATAGGCCAGCTGTATGAGATTCATAGGAAAATGTCTTCTGGAGAATATAAGAAACATGGACAGGCTGGTTTTTAGGGATGTCATGATTTACATCTAAAGAAACCCTGGGTAGATGAGAGTTGACACACATCTATTCTGGATTTACAGCTGGTTGCTGTAAACAGAGTCTGGTTCCAACAGTTTTCATTCAGAAACAAAACAGGAGAGGGGAGATGTTTATCTCAAAATAAGCTGGAGCAGGGACACTCACCTATCACACAGAACGGTTTCCTCGCAAAGCGCAGTCTTCCTTGCCATCCTCGGTACCGACAGCAGCACCCAGCAGACCAGATACGAATAATAAATTCCAAACCAAAGACAACAATCATCACAAATTCCTACAAAGACAAATAAGAAAATGCCTGTTACAAATAACCAAAACTTAAACTTCAGGAAATTTATCACTACTGTTCATGTCTGACAATCCACCTTGAGCGTCTGAATATCCCAAGCCAAACTTGGGATCCTGCTCCCCAGGATGGTTACACATCTACAAGCAGCACACAGTCCCCAGAGCTTCACAGTGAAAGGTCTAAGCCTAACCTGAATAACATTAACTATCAACTAAGATTAGCTACTAAATATTTTCAAATACTGAATAATAGACAAAAATATCAGAGCAAAATACTCAAAGACTTTGGATGCTAAGCATCAGAGCAGAGGTAATTAACACAGCTATTCTATATCCACATCCATAAAATTAATTCTTAGTTTAAAAGTTTTGGGAGATATATTCTCATGGCTGCAATATACAGGTGAAGTAACTGAGATTATGAGTTTGGGAAATCAATCTGTTCCTAGCAGTAGGTTAAGGTACATGCAGGTGTAATTACATACAATGGGTATGTAATTGTTTGTAAGGCAATAAACTAATGCCCACCCTAGGCATAACCTTCCCTGGCCAACCTGTGAATGAAAGCACTTAGAAATTTTGCCTTGCTTTTCTTTCTCATTGGAGTCTTCTTTAAGACTGTTTATTTTAAAAGAATCAACATGTATTTATGCAATTTTTATTCTAAAAAAAATTTCACCACAACAGTGAGGTAATAGTGCAGTAATAGAGCTTGGTGCACAATTCAGCTCCATACCCTAAGGAGATCTGCAGGTCAGTAATATGCAGTGATAGTACATATACACTGTATGGAATTACAAACTTAGATACTCTTCTGGAATACCATCACAAAGTCATGTGTTTTGAAATGACAAAATAAAAATCTGTCTGTTCACAAAAGGAGACAAGTACTTGATGGAGTTTCTTAAACAGCCCATCAAGAAGAAAAGGATGGAAGTAGTGTTTTATTTGGCAGCCCAATGTATTTCTGTGTCCAGAAGCAAGTTGTTCCTTGTCAGCCAATTAATTTGTTATTCGTGCAGGATGAGGATTAGTGTGGTACCAGTAAGGAAGCACTGCAAATGAATTAAATAAAGGAATATTTGTAAGGGTAGGGTTGATCCAATATGGACTTTTCCCTAATAAACATTTTGCATGTTTTTAGACTGTGAGACCCTACAACTCTACAAGACAATGTGTCAGCTCAGGCTTTACTTCACCTGAACAAATGGCATTATTAATGTTGTGCCATGTAATGGTTCTTTACTAGATTATGATTAGTGGCAGTCCACTGAACATTGTGGACTTAATCGCTTTTGCTGTCATAGAACAATTTGAAAACATAGCATTCCTTCCCAAAACATCAGCTTGTGTAGCTACTTCACATTGAAAGGCACTTTTAGAGCTTTCCTCAGTGTCTTCATTTTTGGTTTTTTAAATCCCATATTGAATGCCTAGGTCACAAAAGTAGAATAAGATCCCTCTGCTAAAACACGGCTGAAGAAAATGCCACATTTTTTATTAGAAAATAACATGGAAAAATGTGTGTGATTGTTTAAGATTTTCTTTTTATTCCACTACAAGAAACTTCAACTTAATTTCATGGACACCATTATTGCACAACTTCAGAAAGGATTATGTACAAAACTGAAAAAGTTCCCTGTATAGTAACAGTAATTCCTAATAGTTGGCTACCCAGTGGTACATTTCCTTGTAGGAAATTCTGTGTAGGCCAAGAAAAAAATGGACAGAAAGCCAACTGGAAAAAAGGAAGAATACGCATTTTAGTTATTTAACTACCACTTTTATAGTGGTAGTTAAATCATGAATTGTCAAATCTGGTTTACACATTGTTAGATGGTGCCTCTGAATTTATGAGGGTTGATGGCAGGCATCCAGGCCATTCCTGCATTTGATTCTCCTAAAGAAGTTTCTTCTTTAGGATAGGGTAAGAGATACTGAAGGAAAGGAGGTCTGAAAAGCATGAAAATTTCTTTGCTTCCAATAAAATACTTTTCTTGTTAAAACTTAATCACATTTCATTTGAATAAAGTTTGTTGTTTTCCTGGGAAACATATGGCGTGTGCAGATGGGCAGTACGCTCTGTGGGTACAGTGGAATTGTCCCAGGCACCTTCCAGAAGCTGATCCACACACACAGGAGTGTGTCCTCTCCTCTACTCCAGCCCTGCCAGGGCCTCTGATGGGGAACTGGCAAGGACAAAAAGTACTCAATGATCCTGGAAGGACTAGTCCACAACTTCAAGTCAGTTCAAACAGTATTGTAACACTGCCGGTAGGAATTGGAAAGAGGCAATTTTTTTGGGAAAGTTTCCTCTTCTGGTTCCTTCCAGTGCTATGCAGTTTTGTATTTATCACCTGTACTATTGTTAGCCATTACTAGGTGCTATGCTTGCTCAGTGAGACAAAGATGAGAAAATTTATTGTGTACTGAAAGCACGTTTCTGAGAGTCTGTGTACTACATGGTGCCTTTGTGTGTTAGAGAGAGAAATCATATTTTTCTCTCACCCACAAACACATATACTAAAAAAGAAACTTCTCGGAGATACATCTATTTTAGGAGAGAAAAAGAGCAAAAATATATTTTCTTAATTTTTTTTTTAGTGGGTGGAGTAAGAGTATAAGATTTTTCTTGAGGAAACAATGCGAAATTTCTCTGTTTATTCCTTGAGAAAAAAGTTACCATTTCTAGAACCATTAGAAACAAATGCATGGTTATATTGTCTCAAAATTAACTAAGGTTTCTACTACTTAAACAATTTTTTCTGCTACTTAAGCAATATAACAACTGTAGTTATATTGAGCTCAAATACAGTAAATACATCTCTGTGCATTGGGATACTAAAAGAACTGCTGCTTTTAAAAATGCTATATATGATTTTCTTCCACCCATAACAAGATTCTGTAGATTTTTAAGTACACTATAAGCTTTAAAAAAAGGAAAGACATTGAATAAAATGCATATGGGGTTTCACACTTCTTTTTGCACTTACTGAAATAGTGATGTTTCAAACTGATCTTTATATCCTAATGACTCTTGCTTCCTCAAAGAAAAAGATGATTTTGAAGGAAATAAACATAAAATATAATGAAGTCTAAAGGGAAAGGATTTTCCCAAAAAACATAATGTATTGAAACAGGCCTCTTCATAGTAGTAGTACACATAACAGCTTTGTTTTATTTTGGATTGGCTCAGTTCAAAACCAGAGAGAGACAAAGAATTGCACACCACTGTGTAAAAAAGTGTTGTTTTTGTAGTTGGGGCACTCAGTCAAAATTTTAAGGAAAATCTCTGTCAGGGTTAATACAGGCTGGGGAATTACCTTTTTTTTTTTTATGGCAGCTGTAAAGTCACAAGGTTTTGGTCTTCCATGGACAAAAATTGGAAGGATGCATCCCAAATACGACCAGGATTTTTATTTTTTCATATTTAATTTGGAAGGCTTATTGCCAACTTCAGCATAAATCTAGGCTTTGAAATAACTTGGGTTTTGTTCCTTAGCAATTGAAACAGACGATCAGAACATAATTGGAAAGGCATGCAATGGAATAAATCATTAGACTTCGTGCTTTGTAGACTGAAGAAATGATGCATTCCAAGTATCTCTGTCCTATATATAATATAATGGAACATCATTAATTTTGAATTACTTATGAGAATGAGAAACAACATTTACATCAGAATGGGAAAATCTTACACTGTTTATAAATCTGGCCCTCTTTAAAATTAAGCAAGGCTGCATTTGAACGGATGAGCAAGTTAAAATTTACTGGAAATCTAACCCTTCCCTTCCTAGGTGGAGCAGAGGTGCGTTGGCCTTTGCCATTTCTTGCCTTTTCCCTGTCTTGTTATCCTTTTCCAATCACAGCTGCATTTGGCCTTCCACCAGAGTTGCCACAATCTGTCACTTTTTTGGCTGCCCAAGCTCACAGTTAGCACCTCCCAGTAACCACTGTGGCAGATGCATTGGTGGTTCAGACAGTGGAAAGTTTCTCTTCCTTCTCCAAGCACAGTTCATCCCAACTGATGAGCTTTTCCTTCTGAAATGTTTCTGCACATGCAGCTCCAGTTTCCTGGGGAGCCATGCACATGCAAGAGAAGCAAGGCTGACACACTTGGGCTGACAAGGTTCAGTTGCTTTTGGCTAGCAGGGTACTCCTGAAGATTTTTACATCTGTGTGTGCCTGGGTTGTTCCACCACTGGAACAACGAGGGTCAGACAAATGGCAGGAAAAGAAAATAAGAGGTCATTCAGAGCAAGGTTTCTGTTAATAAAAGGTCCTGGAGGATTCTAATCAACAGGGTTGATGATTAAGAAAATCAAGCATACTTTGCAAAATCCAGCACTTCCCCCCTCCCCACCCCGTTTTTTTCCCTTCTATCCAATTAGGATATGTGATTTGTTGAAGTTGTTTACATTAATATGCTTCTCAGGCCGTTTTAATGATAATGATTTCCCTAAGCATAATATTTTAACAGCAAACAAAAAAGTTTATATAATAGCTTTCTCACTCTTTAGCATAGCTGCTTATTAAAACTGAAAATAATTTGCTGATGATGAATCAGGTGCCTTCATCGCAGACTGTAACATTGGGAAATTGAAGCCATTTTTGCAACAGGAAAATGACCAAAGTTAAGCACCCTCTGCTGATCTAGGATGCTTCAGGTTATTTTGCAATGTGTAAATGAGCTGAGGCTTGGATATAAGAAATCCACCACAAGACAATGTGTCTGCTCTTACTTTAATTATATTTCTTGTATGGAAATGGAGATTTTAATTATTCTAAAGGCTAATGAAGTAGCACAACAGAGCTGAAGACTGATGTGAGGAGCTGCCTGCCTTGAGCTCATAGGAGAACTGTGTTTACAAATGACATTGTCAGAAGTTGGAGAGATGGACAGGAACAGACCAAATGAACCCTCTGAAATAAGCTTTAGTAGGGCCACAAGTGTTTCCCTTCTGAAGACATCTCTGCAGCGTAACT